CTTAGCACCATGCCCTCGTCACGGATCTCATCAAAGATTAATTGCAAATCTTCTACCTGACTTAGCACGGTCTTTGAATCAACCATTTTGAAGTCGAGGAATCGGCCAACTACAAATTTCTTTGAGCCGGCATCCTCACTTCGGTATTTATGATCCAAAGCTTCCCACAACGCTTTTGATGTGCTTATCTTTCGATATACATCATATAGCGTGTCACACAATCCATTCAGGATGTAGTTTCGGCAAAGGAAGTCCGAATCCTTCCAATAGCCAACCGCCATCACAGATTGTGCATCTTGTTCCTTCAACTCGGGAACACTCTCGGACAAGAACCTTGCCAGGCCGAGAGTTGCTAGGTAGAACAACATCTTCTGTTGCCACCTCTTGAAGTTCGAACCAACACCGGTGAACTTCTCCGGCTTTTCAGCCGAACCACTCGGTACCGAAGGTACCCGAGACATGGGAATATATCCCTCAGTGCTCCCACCATCTTGTGAACCAACGTTCACTGGTGTAACTTGGGAATTAGCAACATTGTTGCCGTTTCCTCCATTGTTGTTCTCAACAACATTTTCTTCCCCATTGTTAACGATTGGCAACTCGGGGTTCTCCATTTCTTCAAGGAAATTCGAGAAAACAACCAACGGGAAAACAAGAAATAAGGTTTTAAGATTGTAGGAACCGTTGGTAGAAAACAAATAATAATCAAATAAAAAAAAATTGACTATTATTTTCTGGAAAGAAGGGAAGAAAAATTTGAAGAAAATTGGCTAGTGTTTGGTGTTGGGTTTTTGCAAGAGTCAAGTGTGCACTCTTTCCTTAAAACCTTATTTGCCACCTCCCGTAGATGCTAGGAGCGTTGTGGCCTAGGCTTCCCAGGATAAAACTTGCTATGATCCAATGTTTGAGCATTCAAACAAAGGATCCGGCGAGCAAGACAATGGCTATGAACACAGTATGGCTTAAAGAAAGAGTAGAAGCAGAGAGGTTTTGAGGCTAAAAGATGAACTTTCGTGTTCTATATTTTCTGTGTAAAACTCTACTGCCCAACTCCTCCTTTTATAGGGGTGAAGGATTTAATAGCTTTTAATTAGGCACTTAAGGGCACCCCTTCACCTTCCTGTAACAGCACCATTAGCATGGCCTTCAATTCAAAATTTAAAATTGGAATTAACTCAGAAAATTAATTCCGTAACAGTAGAATTGAAGAGCCAACGGTCAGAAACTGTACAGGTTCGTGTAGGCCGAAACTTCCAGTTTCGACCCCAGGCCGAAACTGGAAGTTTCGGCCATGGGTCCCAAGTCTCGGCCCAAGTGGCCGAAACTACATGTTTCGGCCCAAGTGGCTGAAACTACATGTTTCGGCCCAAGTGGCCGAAACTATGGCAACTACCTAGTTTCGGCCATGGGTCGCAAGTCTCGGCCCAAGTGGCCGAAACTACATGTTTCGGCCCAAGTGGCTGAAACTACATATTTCGGCCCAAGTGGCCGAAACTATGGCAACTACCTAGTTTCGGCCACTTGGCCGAGGTTTCGGCCACACCCTGTGGCTTGTGTTGGAAAGTTTATTCCGAAGTTTGGCATAACTTAGCCCGCAAGGCCAGCCAATTTCCGAACGACATTCGTGCCCGCAGGTGCCGGCGCACACGAGCTCGGGCTTGAATCAAGCCTTTTTTCAATCTCTGCTAGTTGGAATTTGATTTGCACACCCCCCCCCCCCCCCCGCGCGAGAGAGCCTCTATGCTATACAATTCTACAAGCTTCAAAAGAGCTCTTGTATATAAGGGGGGGGGGGGGGGGGGGGGGAATCTTCATTCCAAAGCAATGTGGGACAAAAGCTCACTTTTTCCCTTCATTTTCCAACTCAAATGGGTCTACTTTGAGAATCAATATCTCATTCACCCATTATCCGTTTTGAGCGTACAATATATCGATCTCTTCGTCTCACTACGAAGAATCCGAATCCACTTTGACCCGACCCAAATCGGAAGTGGACCCCACTGATAATTGTACCACAAAATAGCCACTTAACATGCCATTTTAAGCTATTTTTTCCAACACTATTTTGGCTTAATTTCTCTACCCCTTACTCTCTACTTTCAATTGCTTATCTGTTTGAGCTTCACATACAGATCCACGATCGTTTTCAAGAACAAACCGCTACAATTAATTTAGGAAGTTTCTCTCTATGTCTTCCATAGCGCACTCACAATTGAAACTTTTTTTTTTTACAAAAGTTTCATTTATTTATCTTTCTAAATTCAAGTTTATTTAGAATTATTTTGACAAATCAGAAGAAAGTCTATTCAACCCTTCTTCTACACTTTCTTACCACCTTGGGATCAACACCAACAACTAAAAATTTAAATTGATAATTGAGTTGCACATTTATTATTTATATATATTATGTGTATCATCAACCTATAAGAAAGGAAAATACATAGAACTCAACTAAAAATAGGTTAAGATGGTGGAAAGAAAGAGGTGGAAGGGGATTGAAGCGGAAATGAACCAAATTTGTAAGGGTAAAATTTTCTGAGAGAGAGAGAGAGAGAGAGAGAGGACATGCCTAAAAGTTGTATTTTTCCATTGATTTTAAAAAAAAAAAAAAAAAAAAAAAGTAACTTTCATTTTGGGTCCGTTGTGACTTTTTTGTGAAAGAAAACAAGAAACTTTATAGATAAACAAGATTTTTTCCTTTGTCCAAATACAAGAGGTGGCGAACATACATCAGCTGGAGCCTGGAATGCTCTCATAATCAACAAAACATGACAGAAGAAAACATCAAAACAAAGATCAACAATTATATATGTTAACTTCCCGACAAATATGAAAAATACCCAAGTCCAAGGCATCAATCAAGGGAAGCGTGTAATTCTTATATCATTGTTTCTTTTATTCCTTGTGACGTGTGTGTACATATATATCGGTTCCCGTGCGGTTGAATGTGTTAGGTGCAGTTATGGCTTAAATCTGCGTTATTGATCTCGTTAAATCAACATTTAGGATTCACAAAATTAAAAATTAATGTAGTGAAAATTTGATAATTTTTGCATCTGGGTCAAACTTAAGGTGTGTAATTTTAGTAATTCCCGCTAAATTTGGCGACATCTTAGTATTTTGATCATATCTCACTCTAGGAATGCCCGATTCAAGTGATTCTTGCGTCATTGGAAAGAAGACTCGAAGGGCTACAACCTATGATGTAGCGGAAAACTCGACACATTGAGAAATTCCAGTAAGTCGCGCGAAGAAAGAAGAATCTTGATCAGAATTTGGAAAGTGGCGCGGAAACTTCCTACTTTATCCCTACTTGACTCCCGCTATAAAAGGCCCATGCATCTTCCCTCAACCCTAATGACCCCTAAGCTGTGTTTTGGAGACAAAAAAAAGATGAGAATTAAGAGCTACAAGTTGCCTTGGGAAGAAAGAAGAAAAACTAGCACTACAAGAATGAAGACATTTAGTGACAAATTTTTTGTGACACTTAGTAATTTAGTCACAAATAATACTGTTTTTGTGACAAAAAATAATTGACACTATTGTGTGGGATAATTGTGACAACTTTTTTTGGTCACAGATAATATGGTAATTGTGACAAGTAAGTATTTGTTACATATAAGTTGTCACTATTACTAGAATAATAGTGTCGTAACATAAGTTGTCACTATTTGTTGTCACTAAATGTGTGTGCATTTTGGTGGTATTATAATTATGGCGGGAATGAATGTAATTGTGACAAAATATAATGTGGCCACAAATATTTGTACCTTTTGTGACAACTAGTTGTTGGTCACTCTTGTGTGTACTATTTGTGACAATTTTTTTGTCAATAAAAATACAATTGGTTAGTACCATTAGAAATGAGAAACAATTGTGAGAAAAACACTATTGTCACTAATATTGTTATTTTTTGTGATGAAATTGTTACAAATATTTGTGACGCTCTATAAATTGAGACAATAATTGTGTTGATTTCAAGTTTTGTCACTAATTTATGATAATTGTGACGAGTAATTAGTTGTTACAATGACTTTGTCACTCTAATTAAATAGATGAATATTGTGTGAAGTTATGTTGTAATCAATGTTTGCCACTAAAATTGCATTCAAGTTGGTGTCAAGTAATTTGGTGTGAACTAGGTATTAAATATTCTGGTCACTTAAAATGCAACTAATTAGTGCTTCTTAAAATGAATGTAATTGTGAAAATACATGTTATAATCACTCATTTTTAAACGTTAAGTTCACTGTCACTTATTTTACTAATTTGTCATATCAATTTTTTTTTTTTTTGGAAATAAAAATGTATATGTTTAGTACCAACAATATATTTCAATAAAGTACGTACAATTTTGTACATTAAGAGCTATCCAATGTAGTACGTACAATTTTTACAATATGGTTGTATCAAATATGTAATATAAAATAAATTATATATAATAAAAAGTTGGTTAATTGGATCAATTAATTGAATTAGTTAAAGTATAATTTAGTTTGGTTGATTAGGTAATAATTTCTCAAAATAAAAATCCAATTAGCTAGTTTGATTCAAAATTAATCAAATTAATTGAATTATTACTACTAACTACATTAGCCTATTATTTGGATGTGGTAGGGAGGGATGTGTCGGATTTTATTATGGAATGCTTGAATACACGATCCTTCCCCTCTAAGTTGAATGAAACAAATGTGATCCTAATCCCTAAGAAGAACACCCCTGAACGGATGACGGATCTCAGACCAATAGCTCTGAGTAATGTGGTATATAGAGTGATGGCTAAGATGATCACAAATAGAATGAAACTGGTGATGGGAGGTATTATTTCTGACTCACAGGGTGCGTTTATACCAGATAGACTCATTACGGATAATATCCTCGTAGTTGCGGAGGTGGGGCACTATTTAAATCGGAAGCAGTGTGGGGCTGTTGGTTGGGGGACCCTAAAACTTGATATGGCCAAGGCATATGATAGGATGGAATGACCGTTTATAAAAGGAATGCTTTTGGCTCTTAGTTTTGATGTAAGATGGGTGGATCTTATAATGCTTTGTGTGACAACAGTATCCTATACCTTCCTAGTTAATGGATCGGAGAGTCAACCTGTAATACCTACTCGTGGACTACGCCAGGGGGACCCATTGTCCCCATATCTTTTTATCATTGGTGCTGAAGGTCTCTCATTATTGCAACAGGCACAGAATAAGGGATTAATTCATAGCTGCAGGGTTGCCAGAGGTGCTCCCCCAATCTCTCACTTGTTTTTTTGCAGATGACAGTTTACTATTCTTCAGAGCTAATGTGCAGGAGGCCAATGAGATTAAATCTTGCCTGGCTAATTATGAGCTTTTATCTGGACAAGTGGTTAATTACCATAAATAAAGCATCTGCTTCAGCAAAAATACTGCTGACAGTATAGAGATCAGGTAGCGCAAGCTTTGGGAGTTGTCCAAGCTCTTAATTTTGGAAAATATTTGGGGCTCCCTTCTTTTGTTGGAGGAAATAAAAAAGCGGTTTTTGCTTATATTGAGGACAAAATCAGACAAAGAATAGGGTCTTGGAACAAGAAGCTTCTATCACAGGCGGGAAAGGAGATTCTATTGAGAAGTGGGGCTCAGGTCATGCCTACTTTCTCAATGGGGTTTTCTTGCTACCTATATCTGTCTGTACGGCTATTGAACGAACAATGAACCGGTATTGGTGGGGAACAGGCAGGGGCAGGGGAATCCATTGGAAAGCTTGGGATAAACTCTGTATCCCAAATTAGAAGTATGGGGGCCTGGGTTTCAAAGATTTGAGAGCTTTTAACTTGGCAATGTTAGGAAAGCAAGCATGGCGCTTTCTTACCAACACTGACTCTTTGGTATCTCGTGTGTATAAAGCCCGATACTATCCTAATAGTAACTTCCCAGAGGAAACTTTAGGAGGGAATCCCAGTTATTGTTGGCGGAGTATTATGGCAGCCAAACAGCTGGTCTGTAATGGAGTCAGGCGACGTATTGAGACTGGGACTACTACACTGATATGGGAGCACCCCTGGCTTCAAGATGATACTGACCCAATGATTCATACTGAGATGCCACCACAACTGGCTGGATTTAGGGTGGTAGGATTAATAGATCAGGAAACAGGCCAATGGGACCAGCAGATCTTAACTGATATTTTCGAACCAGGTGATGTGCCTAGAATTTTGAAGATACCGATTTCACCAGGATACGAGGATACATGGTATTGGCATGGGGACCCAAATGGTGTCTATACGGTCAAAGATGGATACAAGTTGGTAGTTGGGAACTATAGCACCCCTACTAATGGAAACTTTGATAAATGGCTCAACCTGTGGAGCCTGAAAATCCCACCCAAATGAAAGATATTTTTATGGAGAGCTTTGAGTGGAATCCTTCCTACATCTAATAATCTACTTTTAAAGAGAGTGGAAATTGATCCGGTTTGTGCTATGTGTGGTGTTGGTCATGAGAGTATAATGCATTCATTGGTATCATGTGACTATGCTAGGTTCATATGGGCACGATCTAGCCTTCCAATCCCCAATATTATAACAGATATTTTCCATGAATGGTTTAGTGCATTGTTAAGTGTTCTAGACACTAATGGGATCATGTTCGTAGTTGCTATCCTCTACCATTTATGGAGAGCACGGAACGGAGCGGTCTGGGATGCTTGTCTCCAAAGACCCACGAAGGTCCTTGCTACCGCAACAACCACCATGCAAGCATGGGCGCGTGTCCACCGGCCGGCTGCCCCGCCATCCCGAGCCGAACAGCCGCCTGCTCCCGCCGATGGCCAAGCTCTCCCTTCACTGCCGGAGCACGACCCACAACATACTACTGCTGTATTGTCGCAACAGCAAGAGCCACGACCGGTCACTTGCTATATCGACGCTGGATACCGTCATCAAACCAACACGGCGGCGGCAGAGGCAGTTTTGTTCAATGCCAATGGCGAGTATCTCTCTGCCTTCTGCGCCCCGCACTCGACATATTTCTCCCCCATGATGGCCGAAGCAATGGCGTGCAAAGAGGCGCTTGCATGGCTACGAGATCATGGCGAACGACTGGTTCGGTTGTATACGGATGTCAGGCACTACAACGACACTTGTCTTCATCTATGCCTATGCCCCGGTCGTACGTCGGATACGCTTTACAAGCCTGTAAGGCTCACATGTCAAGTTTTGACATCGCTATCGTTAGTTTTGTTTCTAGATCTCAGAACTATTTAGCTCATAGTTTAGCTTCTACTGCTTTTGATTACGCTACGACTATGTATTGGGACATCGTCCCCTCGAACTCCATTTCAGCATATCAATAATAGAACCACATTGGTTATTTTCAAAAAAAAAAAACATTAGCCTATTATTTGTACATTAAGAGTAATTCTCTTAGTATAATTTTTGTACAAGTTGGTTGTATCAAATATATAATATAAAAAATAATATACATAATAAAATATTGATTAATTTGACCAATTAATTGAAACAATCAAAGTATTAATTTGGTTGATTAAGTAACAATTTTACCCACAAGGTAATTCAATTTTAAATTAATCAAATTATTAAACAAGTTTAATCTTTTTGTTATTTATGTACATTAAAAAAAAATTAATTATTTAAAATATTAAGTATGGTCAAATATTCTTTATTGTTATCTATTACGGAGTATTTCTTTAGTAATTATTTAATAAATTTGAAAAGTAAATAATAAAAAGATAATGGCGCCTCTTCTTTTTTTCTTTTCTTTTTTTTTTTTTTGAGAGAAAATTGACGCCTCTTTTTTTGTTCTTCAATTATACTTGAACCCTATAATCATAGTCATAGTTGCATCAACCCTATAAAATTATTATAATTCATAATTTCCTATTTTCTAATCGTGTTGGAGTCTTTGCCTCTCTGGAGGACTGGACCTTCTTCGCGCTATATGGTGTATTCGTACGGGTACCATGCTAGTATGTATGTATGTATATGTATATATATATATATATATATATATATATATATATATATATGTGTGTGTGTGTGTGTGTGTGTGTGTGTGTGTGTGTGTATGTATGTATGTATGTATGTATGTATGTATATATATATATATATACATACATACATACATACATACATACATACATACATACACACACACACACACACACACACATATATATATATAGAATTAGGTTCTGGTGCGGTTAGGGTGCCAAGGTGCAGTTGTGCGGTTTAATCTGGGCCATTCATCTCGCTTAAATCAACGTTCAGGATTATCAAAATTTAAAAAAAAAATTGATGTGGAAATTTTGTAATTTTTGCATTTAGGTCAAAATTAAGGTGAGCGGATCTGTGATTAATGTGCGTGAGTTTTGTATATAAGATGCGTGAGTTTTGTGCCTAAGGTGTGTGAGGTTTGTGCTTAATGTGCGTGGGGTTGTGCTTAACTTGAATAGTTGTTAAAACTTAAAGTCTGTGAGTTAATACTTAAAGTGCGTGGATTTTGTGCTTAATGTGCGTGAGGTTGTGCTTAATGTGCGTGGATTTTGTACTTAATGTGCGTGAGTTTATGCTTAATGTCAGTAGTTGTTGAAACTTAAAGTCTGTGAGTTAATATTTAAAGTGCCTGGGTTTTGTGCTTAATGTGCGAGAGGTTGTGCTTAATGTGTGTGAGTTTTGTATTTAATGTGCATGAGTTTGTGCTTAAGATCTAACACTTAAGGTGCGTGTTTCTATCACTTAAGTTGCGCCATTTTTAGCTTATGCTTCTTTCATTCAGACACACATTTTTTTTTTAATTTTCATTGATTTGAGCCATTGATCTAAATTTGATCAACGGCTCAGATCTAACCGCACAACCGCACGGGAAGCTATACCGCATCTAAACCCTTCCCTATATATATATATATATATATATATAATATATATATATATATATATATATATATATATATATATGTGTGTGTGTGTGTGTGTGTGTGTGTGTGTGTGTGTGTGTGTGTGTGTGTGTGTGTGTGTGTGTGTGTGTGTGTGTGTGTGTGTGTGTGTGTGTGTATTCAAATGAGGACAAGCATATTATAGAGGACTGTGAGGACAGATGTAGTGTGTGCCACTAGCCGGTATGTTGTGTGCACGGCCGAATGTAGTCGTGTGCCACAATTTGTATTTCGCATGCTAGATTTGTTAATTTATAGAGCCTGTGTTCGAAACCTGATGTTTACATTTATTCTTGTGTGCCATCATGCATTAAGTTGTGTGCCTAGTATTAATTTGTTGTGTGCCCATTATTTGTCCTCACAGTCCTCTATATATTGTTGTCCTCATTTGAACTTAACCATATATATATATATATATATATATATATATATATATATATATATATATATATATATATATATATATATATATATATATGGAGCTAGCTAGCAGTTTAAGTGCGGAGATAGTCCCAAGTGAAAAATGGGGTGAGATATGAGCCGTTGATTAAATCTAGATCAACGACTCAAATCAATGAAATAAGAAAAAAAAAAAAAAATACGCGTCTGAAAGGAAACCACGCACCTTAACATTAAACATTAAAGTGGCGCAGCTTAAGTACACAAAACACGTAAGCACACGAACCACGCATCTTAATAAGGAAAATCACGCACCTTAAGTACACAAACACACACCTTAAGAAAGAAAATCACGCACTTTTAAAAAAAAAAAAAAAACAAAATCACGCACCTTAAGCACACAAAACATGCACCTTAAGTACACAAAACACGCACCTTAAGCACACAAAACACACGCCTTAAGTACACAAAACACGCACCTTAAGCACACAAAACACGCACCTTAAGCACACAAACTACACACTTTAAGTACACAAAACACGCACCTTAAGCACACAAAACACGCACCTTAAGTACACAAAACACGCACCTTAAGCACACAAACCACACACTTTAAGTACACAAAACACACACCTTAAGCACACAAACCACACACTTTAAGTACACAAAACACACACCTTAAGCACACAAACCACACACTTTAAGTACACAAAACACGCACCTTAAGCACACAAACCACACACTTTAAGTACACAAAACACGCACCTTAAGCACACAAAACACGCACCTTAAGTACACAAAACACGCACCTTAAGCACACAAAACATGTACTTTAAGTACACAAAACACGCACGTTAAGTACACAAATCACGCATCTTAAGTACACAAAACACGCACCTTAAGCACACAAACCACGCATCTTAAGAAGGAAAATCACGCACCTTTAATACACAAAACATGCACCTTACGCACACAAACCACGCACCTTAATTAAGAAGGAAAATCACTCACCTTAAAAAGGAAAATTACGCACCTTAAGTTTGACCCAGATGCAAAAATTACCAAATTGTCACCGTATTATTTTTTTAATTTTGTTAATCCTGTACATTAATTTTAGCGAGATCAATAGCACAAATTTAACTCCATAACCGCACCTGACACACTCAATTGCAAGGGAACATATATATATATAACATAATATGTGTAAATCTGAAATTATATCTCTGGTTTTTATTCATATTTTTAGAACTATTATATTTGTACATTAATTTTAAAATATTGTACATCACATTTTATGATGACAAAATTATCCAAATTTCGTTATAACACCATTAGTGTTTTGTTAAAAATATTCAAATAGTATGTATTAGAAGTAATAATATTATACAGTAAGAATCTATTGAATCATACCATATTTATTAATCATTTAATTAATTTTATCCCAAAATTATTAACATAGTTAAATTACTTCATTAAATTATAGTTTTAATATTCAGCTCAAACCTTTATGCATTGCGTGTGTGTATATATATGTGTGCGGGCGGCGATGTCCTTAGGTGCGATGGTGCGGCATCACAAATAGTTCAACAAATATACATAATCAACGTTAGGAAAATGCACCACAAAAACACACACAAATTAGGTACGTATCACCAAAAACACACAATTAGGTGTGAGTAAAAACATCATACAGTTAGGGATGACAATGGGTCGGGTGTGGGTCGGGAAGGACTACATCCTTCACCCGACCCACCTTATATTTTCTCCACCCACCCCCACCACCAACCCACATCGGGTGAACTTTTTCAAAACCCACACCCACCCCCACGGGGTGCGGGTGCCCACTACGAATACCCACCACTTATAATCTTAAATTTTTTTTTCAAAAAATAATATTTAAATTACCTACACATAATAAAATAATAAAATTCATTAGTTATATAAAACATAAAATAATAAAAATATTTAAATATAATAACTAAATTGTTAATTTTTAAAAATAAACTTAGCAGTTTAGATATAAAAATAATAAAAATTCACATGAACTTATAAAAACTTTTATAAATAATTACATGGTGGGTCGGGTGAGGTACTAGGCGGGTTTTGTACATAGAACCCGAATCCAACCCGACCCACCACGGGTTTACTTTTTTAAGACCCACCCTAACCCACCACCCACCACCCAAAAAAATCCGATCCATGCGGGGTGGATTCGGGTGGATATCCGTGGGGCATATTGAAATTGTCATCCGTACATACAGTGCTCGGAAATACACCATTGGGGTGTGGTGAGTTATATGATTTATTTTTTGGGTCTGTTGTGCATTTCATTGTGGTATGTTTCCCATACACGGTTGGTGCAAGTTGTTAACACTGTTGGTGTATTCTGAAATTCCGCCGCACCTAAGGACATCGCCGCTTTTGAACTTTTTCCTATATAGAGGGGTGATCACATGTGGTCATGTTGTTAGGTGTGGTCATATGGTCAATTATAGGCCATTAGATTAGATAGATCCAATGAATCATATTAATCAAGATTCTTCAAGTATTTTCGCGTACATTCTCCTACCCAGGGAACTGCAAGGGTAAACTCGTCATAAAGCACCGGAATAGGAAAAATCACATTGTTGTGTGTTTTATTACACTATTGGTGCATGTTGTTAACACTGTTGGTGTATTCTGGAACCTGGCCGCTATAAATGCCACTGTAATTACCATAATACGAGAATACACCATTGGCCTGGTGTGTTTCAATGTGGTGTATTTTATTACACTATTGGTGCATGTTGTCAACACTGTTGTGTATTCTGAAACCCGCCCGCTATAAATGGTCACTGTAATTACCATAACACCCCCACTTACCAAAACGCGCGAAAATCTTCAGAATTACCACTGCCGCTAGATTAAATTGATTCAACGACACAGATACGACCACACCGCCACACCTAATGACATGACCACATATGAGTTTGCCCTTAGGGTTGGGGTTCAGCCTTTGGAAGAATGACCACATATGAGCGCTCTTCTATATATATATATATATATATATATATATATATATATATATATATATATATATATATATATATATATATATATATATATATATATATATATATATATATATATATATATATATATATAGAATAATGTTCATATGTGGTCATGTTGTTAGGTGTGGTCGTGTGGCGGAATTTGTAAGGGAAACAAACCACAATGAAATGCAAAAAAATACCAGAAAATACACAACATACCCAAAAAATACACCATATAATTCACCAACCCCAATGCCCAATGGTGTATTTTTGAACACTGTATGGTGTTTTTACTCACACCTAATGGTGTGTTGTTGGTGATGCGTACCTAATTTGTGTGCGTTTTTTGTGGTGCATTTCCTGACGTTAATGGTGTATATCTTACTTAACTATTGGTGTATTCTGAAATTCCGCCACACGACCACACCTAACAATATGACCACATGTGATCACCCCTATATATATATATATATATATATATATATATATATATATATATATATATATATATATATATATATATATATATATATATATATATATATATATATATATATATAATTTGTAATATATTGAATTTCCGTCAGATTTAAACTAAATTTAAATTGAGACTGAAAGTGAAGTGTGGATGATCCAATGTGTGACGAGAACGTCTTCTGGAGACCCTTCGCTTTCATGATAGACAGCATGCAGCAGTTTGCAGATTCGGATAAGAAATAAGGATAAGCATTGAATACCCAAATAAGCTTAATTGGTAGATCAAACCTGAGTACAAACAAAATTAAAAATTTAGAGATGGGAGAGGACACCAAATTTTTATTTTAAATAAATAAATAAATGGAGGGAGTTTTAAAGATCTGGACAAATAAAGTCAAAAGATAGCATCAATATATGAATGGATGTGTTAGAAAGTTTTCTTCATCAATAAGGCATAGTGTTTTTGCTTTACGGAAAAGTATGTGGTTGTTATTTGAAAGTTTTGGATGAAACTCGTTTTCCGATTCAGCTGATAGAGGACGCAATAAATTAGTTCAGATTGTTCATAGCAAACCAGTTCAATCCATGAAGACAAATAGACAAATTTGATAAGAACTCGAATTTGGAACCTTGTGATGACTAACCGAAATATCCCAACAATAAGTGTTGTACTACATTAATGACATTATGTTACAAATAGGGCAACTAACAATTGTGAGATTAGTTATTAGTTAATTAATAATCTTGGCAAATTCCAAGGTTTTCTTGCCTTGAAGCTTGTTGGTAACATAATGTCTGCTGTAATCTCCATGGTTATATCTTCTGTACTTGGAGGGGTTGTTGTTGGTTTCATCCACTAATTCTGGCATTGGCCCCACCTCTATTTCATAGCTTGGGGCATAAAATGTGACAATTGAAAGCCTGTCCTTTTCTTTGTCTGTCACTGCTCTATGCTCCACACTCTTGTATCTTCCATTTGTTAGAACCTGTTCACAATTTTTATAGTGGAATCATAAAACACACAAAAATGTCAAAAAGAATGGGCTTTCTTCTCTTGGAAGAGATGATGAGAGGTAACTTTATTACCCAAAAAGAAAAAAAGTTGTATATGCATGTATTGGAAGGGGATGCATTAGTACAGTCTAACCTACTGTAGTATCTGTTCAACAATAATGTCAACCCTGATTGAGATGAGACTCGAATCTAACTTTTAGTTATTGTAAAATATACCCTTAACTTTAATTACCATAAAAAAAAATTGTTATTTTCGTCCCTAGAGCAATGGAACCGTGAAGCTCTTCGACTCATATTCTACGTTAGGTTTTGGTAAAAATCACATATCAATGTGTTTTCGTTGCTAATGGAGGTTCACGATTTCAAATGTTCAAAGGACAAAAACCATAACTTTTTTGTAAAGTTAGGGATGTATTCTGCAATAACTTAAAGATAGGGGCCTAAAATAACTATCGAACTGCATAAATTGAGGGACTAAAATAATATTTTTCTTGCCCACAAAAAACGAAATTCCTTCGTCCCCAGAACCTCCACACCCGACCAGACATGATGGTGCAGAGGTAAATCACACTGAAAGGAGAACCAGTGCTAGATGCCCACAAATCATATTTTTCTCAAGGATATATGTAATATTACCTCTATGGTGTCTCCAATATTAATGACAAGAGCATTTGGGATAGGCTGAACAGGAATCCAAGCATTGTCCTTGAGTATCTGAAGTCCAACTGAGTTGCTGCACTTTCCCTGTTGTAACACTGTAATGGCACTTCCATCAGAGTGGGGGCTGAGCCCCAGAACAAGGTCTGGCCTGGGGCATGGTGGGTAATAGTTCATCCTTACTGCTTGGACAGCCACTCCAAACATTTCTTCAAACACATCCCCACTCAACCCCAGGCTTGTGGCTATGTATTTCAACAATTTCTTGCATAGTTTCCTTACTTCTCTTGAGTATGCCTCCACTGTTTCACTGCACCATATCAGAGTAGTCAACAAAACATCAATGTTTTTGTCCTCCTAGGTTGAATATATATGTTGTTGTCATCACATGGACAAGTCATTACCATGTGTAAAAGATTGTATGTGCTAAATTTCTTTTCTTGGAATTGGTACATCTAAAATGCAACCTAAACATGCATGTAAGGGGTGTTTGGTAAATAGTTGTTAGCTGATTGGGTTAGTGAGTTTGACTAGTTGATAACATTAGCTGATTGTAGAAAAGTGTTTGATAAATTAGTTATTAGCTGATAGCTGATTACATGCAAAATGATTTTCTCAGAAAGCTTATCGAAAAAGCTATTTTGATCGAGTAGCTTTTTGAATTTTAGCATTTTGAAGCAACACGTTGTTACAAAAAGCTAATTAATCAAACACTCATATTAATTCTTTAGTCAAGTCAAATAACTAACCGTGGTCAAATAAGTCAAAATTAACTAATAAGCTAATTATGTTACCAAACAGGGTCGTAATCTTTTTGAAAACAAATTGAAGATTTATAGTAAGACCATGGGTTTTAGAGTTAGGTAGATAAGAAATTTGAAATTTATACATGTTTGTTGACACTTTGACTTAGGAAAGTTTGGATCAATAACTCGTAGGCTAGCCAAGGAAATGGACCAGTTTAGGTTGCACATAGCTAACAAGTTCAAACCAAGAATGTCAAGGAGATAAACCAATTTAGGTTGATATAGTTGACCAGTTCAAATAAAAAAAAGCTAATAGGACGCTGAGAGTAAAGTCGAACTTGTAATTGTTGTTACCAAGTCAACGGCCTAGCCAACTTGACTAGAATTGTCCCGAAATGGGATTAGTTGACATGTGGAAATCTTATTCCAGTGACCAAATCTTGTTGTAGCATGTACTCCTCCATATATTAAATGGATCAGACAAGGCAAAATCATGTGCAATCCGTAGGTTTTTAAAATATTCACATGCAAACAAAGCTAATTAAGGTAGTATGTACCTGAAAGCAGCTGGCTTTGTGGGCCAGAGTTTAGGGTTTCTACTGTAATGGGGCTCTAGTCCAAGTGCAAACATGTTGCACCAATCAAGCTTTTGGTCCTCAGAGAAAACAAATGCTTGACCATATCCCTGCACACTTCCTGGGGCCATTGGATATTTCTGCTTCTCCTCCAAAGGCATCATGAAAAACTCCATAGCCATTCTCTCCATGCTCTCAAGTAAACTCACCTCAACCCCATGATTTATCACCTCCAACAAATAAATAAATAGATTTTAGAGTTGTTGAACATATAACATGAAAAATCGACAGAACACATCTTTCAATTTGTTATCAAAACAGTCAAAAGGTCCTATATTCAAACCTTGTTAGGATCAAAAGCTATAGCTTTGGTGTAAGTGATAAGCGCATGATCTTAACAAGTGGTATCAGCACTTGATCTCAACCCACGTAAGTGAAGACCGTTGAGCATATAGTATAGAAAAGATTTGTAATAGGTGCGAACCAACGTTAACCTGTGAATCTATGAATTACTGAAGGATTGCACCACAACTACTACAGGATTACACCGGTTTCTAGACATGTCTAGAGAGACCTTGCGGTGCATTCATATTCTAATTGCGGTGCAATCCTTCAGTAGTTCGCATGTTAAAGCAAGTTTGCACCTAATTATGGACCATATACAATATACAATATACAATATATATATATATATATATATATATATATATATATATATATATATATATATATATATATATATATATATATATAACACCACAATTCCAAGAAAACAAAAAGAAAATTGTTTTTTTTTTTTTTTTTTTTTGTTATTTGGCAGCATAATCTCATTGTTTGTTGAGACAGGGCAGCTGTTTCAATTAGTATAGCTACTACTATACTCTAAGATTCATGAAAGCATATTAATTAACTTAGTTACCCATATATAGAGTATTTATGAAGAAGCTAAGAAAGAAGCAAAAATATATATACCTGAAAAAATCCCCATTCTTGACAAGCAAGGGTGAGGTTGGATAGTTCAGAGAGGAAGAAGTCTTGAGAATTGTTGTTGTTTTGGTTGGAGAGTTTGGATAAATCGATGACTGGGATTTTAAGGTCACATGAAGGAGGAGAAGTAGTGAGTGTTGGTCTTTCTGTCATGTTCCTAACAAACCTTTCAGGAATATAAGATGGCCTAGTCTTCCTCAATTCTTGGACATCATCAATGTGGCCAACCTTGATAGGAAAACTTGGTGCTGGAGACATTATTATTACTATTATTTTCTCAAAGAATACAGAGTTGTGTGGATGTTTGTATTTGGGTGGGTGTAGCTCTGAAATATAATAATGGGGGAAGTGAAGTGGGGGTTGAGAAGTCTATAATATATAGGGCTACTTAGTATGTACTACATTCATGTGGTGGTTTATAAATATCTTATATCTGCCGCAACATTTGATCACAAAATGCAGCAGCATGTCTGATTCGCTCCTTAGTCTATGCCCCACTAATCTCTTTTCGGGATTGGATTTGGCTCGACCTAAGTTCACATCTCATTCGGGGTTAGACTTGGCTTTTGTCTGAATTCGAACCTTAACTATTTAACCACATCACTCTAAGGATGGTAAACTACAACACCACATATCGAATTAAACCGGAGCTGAACTCGGCCGACGCCCAATAGAATAATCTCAATTGAGCTCCCATATATGACAAAAGTAATCTCAAGATGTCAAAAATTGCATGTTCTGCCATATTTGCTCAAAAATTCTTAAAACATTAAATATTGATGAATTGAGCATCATATCCCACCAAACTAAATGAGATTCAAGGAAAATCATTATAAATATGATATTATAAATAGAGAAAATGGTCAAATAGGCCCCTGAACTTTTTTCAAAAGGGCAATTAGGCCCTTGAACTTCAAAAAGGTACAATTAAACCCTTAAACTTATCATTTTAGTCCATTCAACCCCAACAACCGGTAATTTACCTGAAATAGCCAGTCATCAAATTTCTGCCGACAATTCCGATGAAATTCCGGCGATCCTTTGAATTAAAAAAAAAAAAAAAAAAATCCGGCGACGGTCGTCGAATTCCGGTCATCTTCCACTGGAGAAGATGACCAGATCTGGCAGTCTTCTCCATTGGAGAGGACGACTGTGTGGTCGCCTTCTCCACTGGAAAAGGCGACCAGACAGTCGTCTTCTCCACTGGAGAAGGCGGCCGTCTGATCGTCTTCTCTAGTAGAAGACGACTGTCGCCAGATTTTTTTTTAGTTCAAAGGATCGCTGGAATTTCATCGGAATTGTCGCCGGAAATTTGATGACTAGCTATATTTCAAGTAAATTACTGGTTGTTGGGTTTGGATGCACTAAAATGATAAGTTTAAGGTTTAATTGCACCTTTTTGAAGTTCAAGGGCCTAATTGCCCTTTCGAAGAAAGTTCAGGGGCCTTTGACCCTTTTCTCTTATAAATATTATACTAGAATTGAAGATAGCCTCAAAATTTCTTAATTATATTACTCCCTCCGTCTCATTTTATGTGCCTAATTCGGTTAACGAGGTTTAATTGAACTTATTTTTAATTCAATTTTTTATAATATTAAGTTTAGTATTAGTATACAATATTTATATATTTAGAAACTACACTAAAAGTACTATTAAACACACAAAAAAAAAAATCAAATTTAAAAATAAGTAAATAATACTAAAGAAAATAAACAAAGAATAAAAGGTAGGGATAACAATTCTACCCGCACCCAATGGGTTCGCCGCATCTCCGCCCCTACAGATTTTAAAATACCCGCATAATTTGGATAATGGGTGCGGGTATGGAGGAGAATTTTGTATACCCATGCGGGTATGAGGGCGGGTGCGCGGGAGGTATCCCCGCCCGGCACCCGCACTTATATATATTGTTATTAGTATTAATTTATTATATAAATTTATGTATATTTTATAATTAAAAATGCATAATGAATTAAACTTCTTACTTTTTTGTTTATAAAAATTAAATAGGAACAACACAAATAACATAATGAGTAAACACTTAATACAATTTATACTACCAACACAATTTTCGTTCCAATTCATGACTAACTTCATTGACTCTTATTAAATTTTAGAGTTATGTTCAAACTTATAACAAAATCCATGTGATAATTAGAATTGTAGTATAAAATTTTTATTAGATTTAAGTGTAATATTAATAATTAGAGTTGCAGGTTGGGTATTACCCGCACCTACAAAATCCCTGCGGGGCGGGTTTGCGGGTGCGAGTATGGGGTAGGAGTTTCATTATCCGCGCGGGTGCGAGGAGTAGGTTGGGAATGCGGGTGCGAGGGCAGGGGATATATCCACACACCCACTCCGCCCATTGCCATTTCCTAATAAAGCGTTGATTTGATCAATGATATAATTGTAAGTAGGACATATAAAATGGGACAGAGGGACTATTAATTATTATAAATTACTATGTTGTTTGATTAATTTGTTTACATAACAAGATCTATTACATATTAATGTAAATAACTTGAGTCCACCTCTTACAGATCTTTAGTGCACTATTAGTGATCAGCGGATACACTCTCAAGTTCGTAATTAATGGGGATATGTAGTGCATAGATGATAAGCCATGAAGTGGACTTGTTTGAACGGGAGGTGAGCTTGAAGCATCCTCTCAACTACCCTATTTACTTTTGTCACATTAGTGTAAACACATGGCACAATCAAGCTTATAAAATTTTCATTTTTATAAATTATATGGAAACATATATAGTCACATATATGCATGGATCTGCACCCTGCAGATTATTATATATTGCAATTGTGACTGTGCTGTTGACCCAACTTTAACATGGTGATTTCCCCATCCTGGGCATATATGCATTATTGTGCCATATATATATATTTGTAGCTTTTTATTTGGCTTATTATATGTACATCATTTGAGCATATATACAAAAATCCAAGGAGACTATTGGATCCAAAATAAGTTACTAAACAATCATAAATCAAACGACAACATCTTAATCATCAATCATATCATGCCTTCAAATTTACTGAGTTTCAACAGTTCAGTTTAGAGGCAAAGCCAAAAACATGTTTTCATATACAGAATTCATGGAAGCAAAAGTAGTGTCATTGGTTTGTGTGAAGAGAGCAGTAATAGGTTGAGTGAGCAGAAGAATTGAGTGGGGACCCTTCTCTTTGACAATTTGTCGTGCCCAAATCTTGTGTTTCTTGTCTTCATCTCTAGTCTATACTAGAGTGGACAGACATACATATATGTGCACTTAAAATGTTTATGTTTAGTGAAAAGTTCCATGCTAAACTTTTTTACTTTCCCATGTGAGTTATAATTGGTTAGTTATTTAACTAGAGAAGTTACAATTGAGTAATACTACACTTATATAGTTATATTTAATTTAATTTGTTGAAAGAAGGGAAAATGACACTTTTTCCCTCTGAGTTATATACCTATAGTATTTTTTCCCCTTAAATTATTGAAGTGGTTGTTTTTCCCCCTGAAATGTTAAATGGACATATTTACCCTTAAACTAAATATTTAATTTATTTATTTTTCTCCAACAAATTATGACCATAATTTGGTTCAAACTAAACAAACACTATAGCAACCAAACAGAAATATTCCAATTACAATTTAGAATCGAAATTCGATATTTAGAGTTTATTAAAATCGTGAACCGGAACGGACGGTTAATGTTCCGAACTGAAAAAATAAAATACATTTATTATTGAATTTAGACTATTTTAAAATAAAAAATAAAATTTTAAAATAAAGACGGTTCAAAATCGCGAATCAGATCCGGAACCGCCGGTTCACGGTTCAAGATTCAATTTTTTTGATAGATAATTTTAATAAATTGACATTTAAATATTGGGTTCTAGATCTGAATTATAACCGTAAACTATTAATTCGATTGCTTTAGTATCCGGTTCAATTCAAATCGAACCGTGGTCATCCCTACGTATACGCAATAATTTGTTGGAGTAGTAAAATAAATAAAATGTTTACTTTAAGGGTATAAATGTCAATTTAATATATCAGGGGGGAAAAAGCACCACTTTTAGAATAATTAAGGGGGCTAATGTGCTTACCTAAATAATTGAGGGGGAAAAAGTGCTATAAGTATATAACTCAAGGGTAAAAAGTGCCATTTTCTCTTGAAAGAATATAATTAGTTAAAAATGATAATATCTAAGTGGTCATTTGGATGTAATATCTTGAGTGGGTTTATCTTTAATTTGGGTCGAGTCAAAGTAAATTTGAGTTCTCATAAGAAAAAACGTTTAATTTGGTATATTATATACTCAAAATAGATAATAGATTAATAAAAAAAAATGATTCTTAAACTACACTCATTGAGTTAGAAAAATGAAGCTTTAAAGACTTTCAAGTAGCATTTGTCTCACTACATATTGGAAAAATACGTGGTTTGCACTTGTGTAAATATAATTCAACTTTTTATAGGCAAAAGAGTTTCAGTACAATTGTGTGACTTATATCACATAGATGTTTGAATTATGCAGTATAAAGGCTCTCTATGTTCGGTGTATGTGTAGCCTCTTCCATTTTGCAACTAGGGGTGATTAATTCTCATTATTTTGAGGAGTTATAATATTTAACTCCAATTTTTAAACTTAGAATTTAATCTATAATCGAAAACTTGAACTCATGTGTACCCACGTGCTATTAAGGCGTTTGGTTGGAAAGAATGAATTAGCGAGGAAAGGAATTGTAATTCGGTGGGAAAAGAATAAGATGAGAATAAAGTAGGAATTCAAATTACGTTGTTTGGTATGGATAAATAGAATTATTGGAATTGAAAATGAAAGAAGTGGTATAAAGACTAAAATACCCTTGTGTAATAATAATAGTAATAATAACCAATGATAGTAGTGTCATTTTATCTATTTTTCTTTTCTCATCACATCCACTGAATTGCAATTCGTGGGGGTACTCCACGAATTGTACCCCCATGAATTGCAATTCAACAAAAGGAGGAAATTGCAATTTCCTCCAACCAAACAATGTAATTGGAGCATCCATTGAATTCCAATTCAACTACAGCTAAATTATCGTGAACCAAACGCCCTGTAAATGTTTGGTGTGTAACCTCTTCCATTTTGCGACTGTGGGTGATTAATTCCCGTTAGTTTCAGGAGTTATACTATTTAACTCCAATTTTTAAACTTAGAATTTAATCTGTAACAGTTGTAACATCATGTGTTATTTTAGATTGGACTTTGCTATACTCTCCTACATTTATCACTCACACAAATTCACTCACTGATGTGGGCATTTTGTAGTGAGTTAAAATTT